GCCACCACACCCGGCTAATTTTTGTAGTTTTAGTAGAGATAGGGTTTCACCATGTTGGCCAGGCTGGTCTCAAACTCCTGACCTCAGGTGGTCCTATCAGCTTGGCCTCCCGAAGTGCTGGGATTACAGGCATGAGCCACTGCGCCCAGCTTATTTTCCCTTTTAAATGTGTTGGTAGCAGCGGTAGTAACAGCAACAGGAACATGGGCAGAAGGAGCAAGAACTGCGGCTGACATTACTAAGCACTTGCTATGTGCTAGAGTGTTTACACAGTCACTCGTCAAGTCCTTTCCCTCTGTTTCGTTGGTGCTTCTTTGATTTTCCTTCTCTGTCCCCTCTGCTGTTTACATGGCTTCTTACCTCTCACTTGGATTCTTAATTGCATGTAGCCTCTTGACGGGTTTCTCTGTCTAGTTTCTTTCCCTCTAAGCTGACTCCAATTAATGACCTCTATTCCTTCAGGAAGTCTGGCTCTGATCCTGCTCCTTAGGATCAGAATTGTACTGTACAGTATAGGAATAGCTCCTGTTGCTAATGGGATAAAGTTCAGAGCCCTGCCTTGGTACTCAGTGTTCTTTCTGTTCTGACTTAGCCCACCTTTCAGCCTTTCTGACTGCTTTCCATGTGGTGTCCATGCTGAGCAGACTGGAAGATTTGCTTTCCCTGAATTCATTCTATGCGTCTGTGCCTTCATTTATGTTTCCTACCAGCTGGGGTGTCCCTGCTTCCTCTGAATTGGGTGTATTTATCCTCTGAACCTCCACTAGCTTTATCTCTCATGTCACTTTTGTTCTTTCTTTCCAGGATCTGGTTTTGTCCTCACCATGCTGAGATCCCAGATTTCAGAGATGGTTTCATTTCTCTTTCCCTGTAGCACAAAGCCATATTAGTAAACAGTTGCTCAGGAAATATTTGTAGCATAGGTGAATCAGGCCCACCTGGTACAATGTAAGGATCTCTGCACTTTCATTTTTATAGCTCCCTCTGGTTCTCACCAGGGTGTTTTTTTAACTTCAGCATATTTCATTTTCTTTTGAGCAGTCCTTAACTTCCAGAAAGGTACCTGAATAGAAAGTATCTTCTTTCCTCTATCCGGTGGGGAGACTTGGCAAACATCCAAGCTTTGCCCAAGGCCTGGGACCGAATTTCAAAAGACGAACACCAAGATCTTGTACAAGGTACTGGTTTGTGTTCTTCCTTCGTGTCTCCTCTCCTCCTTTCTCTCCCTGTGGCTTACCTCTTTGGAAGCTTTAGGAAGGTGCCCTTGCTGTGCCTCTGTGTTTTATGTTCTCGGGAGAGGTGATGATGCCATTTTTTCTTTCTTCCTATTTCAGATATCCTATTGAATGTTTCCTTCTTCCTGGAAGAGTAAGGAAGCTGTGCGTATCCGGAGACCATGGGCCCCACAGTGGAAGACTGACATTCTAAACCCTGATGTTTTTAAAGAAACGTCAGTATTTCAGTCTCATGTATTTGAAATATCAGTGCCTTGAACCTGAGGACTGGGTCTTGGGGAGGATTAGTGCCTAGATGTCTGATGTTGGAGCTGCAGCATGCCAGGCCATGGCTGAGAGTATGTGAGCCACACCTTGCCCTTTTCTGAGGCTCAGGGAAGTGGATGGAGATAGAGACACAGCAGGAAAGATGGTGCTGAAGAACATAGTGCCTTGCCTCCACTGTAGACTTGAAGAGGTGGGGAAGCAAGGACAGGAGGCAAAGAGCCACACTGCCCTTGGCATCATCCAGAGCATTGTCTGGTTGACACCAGGTCCTGGTTTTGTGTCTTTTGTCAATATCTGAATCCTTGACAAAAGAAAAAGTGATTTTGATGATTTAAAGAAATAAGGGTGATTTTGACAGAAAATATATTTTAAAAATAGTGACCAATTGCAATAGTTATCCTCAAGCCAATTTCCAGAGCCTGCCACCAGGGGGAGGTGGT